TCGACGCAAATTCTTTAATCTAAGTTTCTTGAGTTCGAAGTTGGTTTAAACAGTGTGCCTTATGTATAATTTTTTAACGTCGCCGGAATACCCTTTCACAGGAAAGGTACCGGTCAGGTGGTTAGTTCCAGTCCGTAATTAAGGTTACATATGATGCACTTAATGACTAAGTGTGAGGGCCGGATGGAAAAATGATTGACTCAAGGTCATGAAGTTCAGGTGTCGCCACGCTCGGTCCGTAAGTTAAGACAAATATTTGGGAGTCAAATATTTTTCCTGTGAGGCCCGACCTAACTCCGTCAAAAAGTATTCTATCTATTCTTTCTGCAGTAACTCTATAAATTCACTTCTTGCGGAGTCGTGCGGCTTTTTCCTAACCTAGCTCAAGTCATTGCGCGCAGCCTTCCTGCGGGGATTTTTGTCTTATGACTTTCATATCATGTTCGCGCGGGGCCGTACGGGTCATATGATAAGGAACACTACTCAACGAGCTTGCGGTCAACAGCTGCTGTTCTGGCACCGCAAAAGATCATTATTTGAGTCAATACTACGTTTTTTGTATCTCCTGATTGTTCAAACAAGATCGCCAATGTATGTAAAAAAGTGAGGGACTCTTCTAACGCGAACAGTAATTAGCCAGGTTGCTAAGCCAAATTCAAAATGGCGGCGTCGTTAGTTGAAAAGGACCACGTCGGTTGATATGGTCATTCTCTGAAATCTCAAGGCGTACTTATTTTTCCTCATATTACTCTAAAATTTTTCATCGGAGAAGAAATATGAATTTTTTAGTCTCTCGGGCATTTTCTCCTTTCTGCTTTTTGTTCCACATCCAGAAGACCAGAAATGAACGAGTGTTAAATAGAGCACCACCTTTCTTTCTCCGCAACAAATTTCCAACGAATGCTCATAAAACCCAAATGTATGTGGTACGGCATGAGGTCAATTTAATGAAGTTTTTTTTTCTTGCAGTTTTTCTATTTATTTGTTTACCCATTTCTTTTGGGAAAGTTTTGGAGTGTTTTTTATTAAACAGACCCATATGTGTTTTTCTTTTCTCAAAAAAAGGTAAGCGTTTTCATTCTTCTAATTCAGCAAGAGTTTGCTTTCTATTTGCTGGCTTTGCCTGACAATAACTCCAAATCACTCTACCAGCTGTTCCCGTTCTAATCAGGAGCTTGAAGTAGTCTAACACGTGCGAACATTATTTGATCTTAGGATCCGATTTTACTCGACCACGCTCCCGTGTGCTGATTAAAACATCAGCCATGATGGATGATAATTGGAAAGTGGCTGTTTGATAAGAGGAGTGTCTTTTCATTTCTGTAGCAGCTTTATTAAGTTCATATGGCAGTAAAACTACAGCATTTTTCAAATAAGATAGACAGCTACCCTAATTTATCTGAAAATAAGATGGCTCTGAACCTACACTTCTATCAACGGCTGATCACGATGCATTTCTAAAAAGTGCACTCATCCTTATTTACGAGCTTGTTACTTTAAC